TAAAGGAGTGGCCAAGCTGAAACAAAGTGCATGAATTTTGACTCCCATCATTTCACCTAACTACTAAGTTGAGTTTCCTCTATTCAGAGTCAGAGCTGTGAATAGTTATTTAGTCAGGGGTGAAGCACAGCTGGTGTGAATATAAACTTGATGAAATAGAGAATTTTTTTAAGAAGGTGTATTTGATATGTTTGAGAGATCATTTTCAGATAAATTAAAAGAAAACCGAACCATTTTACAAAGGGGACATATCAAGCAACAAGTGTTTACTAAATGTCAACCTCGTCAAAGGTGGTATAAGTACTGTTTTCGTGTTTACATGATGTCCGAGCTGCCGCATTATATTTTTCGTTGTGTTTTTGGTTCAATACTTCCTGACATCTCATTAGTAAGCTCTTCCTCTACTAAAAGTTCTAAGTTATGTTTGGGGTAGACAACTGACCAGCTTAGTCTAATTCCCAGCACGTACATTTTTATTAGCTTCTCTCCCCGGTGGTTGAAACGTCCTGGCATCTCTCTTTCCATTTCGTAACCTACTGATCACAGAGAAATTTCATAGGGTAACAGCCCTTCTCTCCCACAAGATATCCAGAGAACTAATTTCTAAGAAGGATCTGATTCATTCATGGGTTGCCTATATTTTCATGATTCTATAGTTATAGTGCTTTTGGCATCTCCCTGCCTCAGTGTAGGCTGTTTCCAAAATGCAGCCACTGTGTGACTTAGCTCCTTTTCATTTACCATACTGAGATCAGCAGAGCACGAAGGGGTGTGCTTAGAAATACGATAAATTATGAAAAGTATTCACACCTTCATTAACTTACCTAACAAAGTGTTCATAAACAAACTTTATATATCCATTTTTATAACTGTGGGATCCTAGTGACATTTTTACATAAGTAAATTTAAAAATCTTTTTATGTTTTTCTATAATTTGCATCCATAGAATGATGCTACAGATAATCAGAGAAACATGAAATCATTCCTATTTTATGGGACAGCTTTGATGTATTTCTAGCAGAATAAAAATAAACCACTATATTTTCTAGATGGTTTAGGACTGTATCAGGGAATGTGTAGAGAATCTCTGATGCACATTTCTGATGGAGATGTCTTGTAAAATATTCTCACCTACCTGTTATTTCAAAAGTGGTGAATAGGAAAGGTGCAGCACCAGCCTTTGGCGCACTCTGATATTTACTTTCTGAAATAACAGGGAAATAGCACCATAGCCTTTATATTTTTTCCAAAATAGCTTTGAAAATAGGCTAGTTTGTGGAAATGGTAGATAAAAGACTACAATTATAAAGAATTTGCATTTCGTTTAGGGATCGTGACTATTTTGTTGCAGAACGTGGGAAAGCATGAGCTCTTTGTTCATTCTTCTGTCTCCCCATTCACAGGTCGTCACCCTTCCCTCCATCCATCTTTCCACTGATCCTACAAAACTTCCTGCTGGTTTGTCTCATTCTATGGCATCATACAGGCCAGTTATCCAGCCTGTCTTTCTTAATAACCTCAAATCCCACAGACCTTATCCAGATTTCACTGTGGGTTATTAGATATGTTTTCTATAAAAGGATGTTCTTAAGTTTTCTATAATATAAATCACGGCCAGCTTCATGGTGCTTTATAACCAATCCTTTTGGTTTCCCACATTTAAAAACATGTTCAATCTGTTTCAAATGGAAGAATTTTCTTAGTTGCTACAGTTAAAATCTACTTTCATTTCACTCTGAGCTTGTAAAAAAAAAAAATCAACTCATGTTCATGCATCCAATGATCAGCAACAGTTCATCAGCTGTCTAGGACTCATACCAGTAACCTCCCCATGGGCAAGGCTTCTTCCTGTCCTTTTCTGATAAGGGTAGATTTCATGCCAGCATAAGCTGGACATTCTTTACAGCCTTCTGGAATTTTAATCAGCCGGCTGAACAGAAATTGTCAAGGGTGTTAGTACTAATTCTTCTCAGTTGTCAAGATTGGGAGTTACCTCTGGCCAGAAGCAATACATGAACAATATGTGAGTGCTCTCCAATATCAACTAGACACTAATACTTTTCTTATTGTCTAGGAATGGGATCATCAATTTAATAAACATCCTGACACTATAATTCAATGAACAACAATAAGATGTTAAGTTGTGAATATCATACATTATACTTAGAATACTTGAATAATACACATTTCAATTTTTTGGACATTAAATATATTAGCTCCAAGGAGGAGAACTGTTATGGTCTCGTGTGGTGTGAGTCAGTTAACAGTAGTGAATATATCAATGAATAAAACTATTTAACGTGACCCTCTCCTCGTGCCAAGGTTGTCATTACCCATATAATATGATGTGCCAAGATAAAAGAGGTTATGTGAATTTCCTGTCACTTGTTTCCAGTATTTTTGCATCAAGAAGTTGTATTTTTGAGTGAAAGCATTTTATTTTGAGTTCATGTATTTTAATAGCTTGGTTGCACATGAAAACAACTTTTCTAGAACACATAGTGAGAATCTGCCCAAACAACAGTGTAAACTTTGTTCTTCAAATTAAATATAATATAAATTGCTCTTAGGGTCAGTTGTTCATGGTGAGGCAGCCAGACTTTTTTGAGATCAATACCTCCTTATTAGAATTGATGGAGTTATTTTGAGAGGTTTTCCTCTCTTTATAAAGTAAACCTTTGTCCTTTCATATTTATTGAATGAAGATAGACTGAACATTCTTCACAGCCCATAGTCAAATTGCTCTACAATCATATATATTTATAGTCTTTACATGTCACCCTTGGGATGCTGGTATATTGAATAAGTTTCCTATTGGGAAAAGCTAAGTGCTTCTGAGGGGAAACTCATATAGTTTAAGTTCTGAGCAAAAAAAAAATAAAGCTGCAACTTTTAGGGAGAATCAACCATTCTTTGCAAAGACTACCAGAGGATTATTAGCAGTCTTGGTATTTGACATGAAAGTACACATATTCCTAAGTTATTCATGTAACATGCTTACATGATAAATATTAATTTCAGAAGAACTGATTATTCCTCTATCCCTTGATCTTTGCTTTGGCATTTGCTTAATCCAATAGATACATCTTACAATGATATTCTCTTGGTTTTCCTTTTTGGTGTGACTTTTATTTTTGGCACTCTGCTGTGTTTTGACAGCAGTAGGGAAACTCCATAACAAAATGATTTAGAAATATATCCAGCTGAGACTCAGAATTCCGAAGGCTCTTTTGAAAGTAATAACCTACAGGACATAATTGACATTCAGAAACTAAACTCTGATCTACTTCTAGCAATGAAATTATACTACCCTGAAAGGACTGCTATAATAAATCCACCGAAGAGTGTTAAAAACGTAGCCATTAAAGTGGCCAAGAAAATATTAATGTACTAACATTACATGTTTTATGCTACTTCCTTACAACTTCAAGATACATTAGTAGTAAAATGTATCCCTAGGCTAGATTCCTAAATGAGTTCACATGCTATGTAAAGTTAGTGGATAAAAAACAATTAAATCTTGCAAGCTACACATGCAAAACTTCCGTGCTTATTTTCCATGAATTGCTGGTCACTGGTGCCACTCTTTTTCGGGGAGGCAGAGGAGTCATCTCTTCTTTTGTTTTTTTTGAAACACTCATTTCCCTTTTTTCTGGTCCTTCTTGATCAGATTCCTTCTCTGCATATTCCACACCCCCCTTTATTTTTTTGGTTTTTGCTAATGTCAATTAAGGTCTTTATCTTTATTCCTTTCCCTTTCCAACCAACATATTTGCTGGGGAGTACTATCTGATTATATTCACAATTTGCTAAATACGACATTTCCATCTTTTCTGGCAAGACTTCTCTTTTGTTTTTGCTTTTCTTTAACGGTGCGCTAATGCTGTTCCTTCTCGCATTCCTGACCCACTTACCTGTATGACACATACTTGTCCTCACTGAGCTCCAGAACCACTTCCTTCCCCTATGGAGGTTTCTGTTTCTGTGATCCTCCTACAGTTTTCCAAAACTCGTTTATAATGCATAGCATATGGTATTATAACTCTGTGTGTGCACCCACGTGATGATCATGAACATTCCCTGACCCAACATTTGTATTGACATTTCTATCCTCAACATCTTGCACAATTTTTGGAACTCTCTTGTCAACTAAAAATATATGTTGAATAGATTAGTGATAGACATCCTGCTATCCTGCAGGTAGAGGGAAATGTAAGAGGGTTAGCTTACAGCTTTGCTTAAAAATATTCATATGTGTGGACGTAAAGCTACTAGTTGAATATAAACTTGACCCAATAATGATTAGAATTTCAGAGCAATATTAATATATGATAATATATACATTTAGCCCTGGCCATCTTGAAATCACTTATCCTTTATATATCTATCACATCTGGTCCAAAACTGAGATTTAAACAAAAAAAATTCTAAGAGATGTTGAATTAAAAGGTTAAAAATTAGTCATGCCTTCGGGTTAAAGGGTTTTTGTTTTGTTTTTTAAATTAATTAACTTACTGTAGCTTGCATTTATTCTGTATTTATGTCATTTAAACTCAAATAGAAATTTTCAGTCAATTCTACAATTAACATATTTTTCAACCACATTATAAATAGCGAAAGGAAGGTGGTTTTTATAAGCAAGCTTTACTTCTTATACAAAGAAAAGAAAATTTGGGCTTTAGAATATAGACTTCTTTGCATATACTTACAAAATGAGTTTTTATTCTATTTTTATAATTAATTACTTCTGCTAACTTTTCACTCAAGAGCCTGAAGTTAGAAAATTTAATGAGGGACCTGCCAGTAAATCAGAACTGACCAAAGATGGAATTGAATTACATTTTTACAACCCAAATTTGGATGACTGTTCACCCCAGTGAGTAGCGACCATGATGTGAACAGAAATGTGGCTACTTGTGCCCTTGATGGCCTGTTATATACCCTGCAGCAGCCCACGCCTGGTGTCCATGTGTGATCCTTGAGAAGAAAACAAAGTTTACCTTCTTTGTCCTTGTGGGAGTTCAAGGGTGAGAGGAGGTTCTCATTGGTCTGCACGCAGTAGGCCTCTCGCGTCTGGACCCCTCCTCCGCACAGGGCCGTCTGGTTGCCCCGTCTCCTGTCCTGCTGGCTGAGCAGAGGGTCCACGCGGCACTCGGTCCACTCCGTGGTTCTCCAGCCGTACCTGAGTGAAGAAAACGCCATCAGCGGCAACCGTGCTCATTGAAGAAAGCTGGGCTCTGCTCTTCTCATTTTTTTTTTTTCTTTCTTAAAAAATTAATCTAAAAACCACTTTCCTCCAGCATCCATCATAGACTAACTATCACATGTATGGTGCGCATTCAGATTCACTCTTCTCCTTTCTCCTCTGCAGTGCTCCATTTAAGAAGGAGCTACATTTAGGACAATCCTGTTTTAATTGCAGTTGCTAGAAGTTGCTTATAAATATTTTATTAAAAGAGAGGCTAATGCTGAAAATATGAGATTTTTATGTTCAGTGAAGCTGAACTCAGGCTTGCCCTTTCTCTGTACTTACAGACGAAGGACTGAATTTGAGAACAGGAAACACTGCAAGTGATGACCAACCCAAATGCTTGTTTTGCCTTTAATGAAATGCATGAAAATTGCTTCTTTGCCCTAGATCAAAATTATGACTGTGTTTTAGGATAAAAAATATAACATTAACAATGTAGAGTTTTCTCTTCATTGTCAAGGATGAGTGTTTTTCTGTAGCACTGAGCATCCCTGATGGGTGTTGATAAATGAGGAAAAGAGCTGACGTTTCTCATCAGTGGGACACAGGAAAGACGATCTGTGATTCTAAACGAAAACTCCAATCAAGATCCTGATGTGGAAGAAACGTTGGGAGCTTATCAGCCCCACACGTGCTCTAAGGAGACAGGGAACCATTTCCCGATGCCACTGAAGATAGCAGGTGATGGCATTTCTCCACCTCAAGGAAAATGGATATTCTAAAAGCACAGAGAAAATGGCTCATGTGACACTTTGTGTCACTTTAACCAAGATGCTTCTTTACTAATCAGATTAACAGCCAGCATAGGTACAAATGGATGTGCTAATGTTCATCTCAATTAGATGGAAAGATTAAATGGGCTCTCAGATCTAGATGCTCTGCTTTGTTAACGGTAAAGTCTCATGACAGTAAAGCTGACTTTCGTGCCCCTTTCTCATTTTTATAAATGGGGGTTCGTGGCTTAACAGAGGTGCAGGAGGGGGGCATCAGGTAATAAGACCCTTGACACATGTTTATACAGAAAGTAGAGCATTCAGGTTAATGCTAAAAGCATGGATCACTGATGCCTTGGGCAAAGTGTGGCAGGCGGCAGGTGGGGGCGGGCAAGGAAAGTAAAAACCAAACAAGTCATTCATTAGGGGAGTTAAAATGAACACTTTACATTTCTGTAGAATGCAGCCTCAATTTAGGTCGTCCTAAGGGGTCCTGTGAAAGGAATCATTTTGCAATAACGTAAATTGGTTACACATTCTGAAAATGCTGGTCTCCCAAAACGGGGGGAAGGAGACTCAGACTGTGTATTTATTTCGTTAACGGTGCTTGAGTATCCGAGGGGAGAAAGAATAAGACGCCTAGCTGGAGACAGAAAGAGAGAAGAAAGTCAGGCGACAGACTCCGATTGGAGGTCCGGCCGGTTCCCCGAGCCTGGGGAGTGCAGGGGAGCACGCGAGTCAGTGGGGCCGGCGGGGGGCCGGGAGGGAAGCTCTCCGGGCTCCGGGCGCTTGTTGCACGCGAGGAGGGGGCTCCACCGCGCTGCAGGCCCGAGGGTCGCGTGAATAAGTCACCCCTGTCTCCGCACCGCTGTTACTGTCAGGGGCAGGGGTGCGCGTGGTTTCCCCTCACGGGTTTCTGAGCTGTACGCATGTTCCTCAAGGGTCTGGGCTATTCCAGAGAAGCGCCTAATGCAGCTTGTGTAGATCTGCTGAGAAACTAAGATTCTCAAAGCTGTTCTTACAAATAGTCTAAATAGTCTACGTGCAGACTAAGCTGAGCGAAGATAATTCCCAGTGATGCCTTGGAAATCATATTTTTAAGGACAAAAAGGATATGGCTATACTGCCAAATATTTCAGAATCTGTCTTATTTATCTGAATTCAATGGGCATTTATTGGATACTTACCGTGATACATGCTTCTCAATAAAAATAAAAATAAAAAAGTGAACAGGCACAATTTTGTCCTCAAGGAGCTTAACGTCTTATTTTGATGTAGTAGTTTATTCTATTTAATAAGATTTGTTATACACAGTAGTGAATTTTAATAGGACTTGCTCAATAAACAATAGAAACCTATATTTTGAAAGTATAATTTACCTTATAGAATGGGGTTGGCAAAGCATGGCCCGACAACCCGATCCAACCCATCTCCTATTTTGATATGTGATCGCTCACTGTTCACGTGTCGCCTGTAGTTCCAACGGTAGAGCTGAATCTATGTAGCTCGTAAAGCCTGATGCCTTTGCACTCTTCCCCTTTACAGAAAAAGTGTGCTAACAACACCTATTATAGAAAGTATATAAACAGAGAACTGTTGCTAAAAATCTAGCCTTCGTGGAGATTTGGAAATATAGCTGTTAAAGACACTTTTATTGGGTAAAACCATTTTTTTAGGATAGCATTTGCAAAGAAATATTTTATTTTTCCACTTAGAATTTGTAAGAATCACTATTTCTCACCCTACTATTCAGAGGAAATAGCTGAACAGACAAGCAATTTGGGTAGACAGGGCAGAGAGGCTACAGCCCTATTTACTCACGTGGCACAGGGGGCGGCTGCCTCGCCCGGAGACACACAGGGCTCTGTTTCCTCAAGTCCTGGACACTCTTTGTCGCTGCCAATAGGAAACTGCCTGATGATCCGCGACCTTACACGGGTGCCTTTAGGGGACGCCGCATCGTGGCATGTTTTTGAGCAGGGGCTCCATTCTGACCACTCCGACACCTGGCACTCTTTAGTGATCACACAGGACTGGAAGGTCATTGGCAGCTTCTCCTGCTGGCAAAATCTGCAAAAAAGCATTGATATTCTCATCACACACACAGGCAGTTATGAACTTTGTCTTCTGCACTCCACAGTGAAATCAGCCTGGACATTTTTATTTCTATTTGGAGGTGAAATTCTAATTTCATTGAAAATACATCAACATTTATGATGTGTAAAAACAGTCAGACTCAAACCTAACATTTGCATTTCCTCCTATTTTGTAAGAGTTGTTAAACCGTTCATGGGAAATAGAAAATAAAGGGACTAAGCAGACTTGGCTAAAAACTAAGTTTACCATGTTGTTCATTTCACTCGTTCCAGATTTGTTTTAATTTAGAAAATGAGAAACCAAGAGCTGTTAACATGGGGTAATTTCCATTCTGTTTAGTGATTTAAATCAACATGTTCGGCTAACTTAATACAATATTTTTTTAAATAGAAAAAGTCATTTAATGTATGCTTAACATTTTTAATATCATTTGAAATGTTAGTTGTCACTTACAATTATAATGTATGTTTATTCAAATCTATCAACTTTTCCAGTTCACACTTTAATACACAGTATACGTATGGATATCTTAATTAAATACATCATAAGCATTAAAAATAGAAGTCTACTTATATCTATATTACTATAGATACATCCTCTAAATACATCTCTGATATTTATCAGTAAAGTATTTATTGTTCAAACTCTTATCTATCTATGTCTTCTTGAATTACAGAGAATTTGGATTTTAAATTGTAATGTCTATATATGAAGATGAAGATGATGTTATGGATGTCCGTGACTAAGGGCATATGCACTTTGAAAAGACTCCTGGACTTAAATAGCCTTGTGTTGGTTCTTAGATGAACTCTTGCCCCTTCTCAATAGCCAATAGCGCATGTTTACAAGACACAGACAGACAGACGCCATGCCAGAGCCATTTGTTCCAATGGGAGAAGGCACGGATAGTTCTGTTTGTCATTCAGGTGCTATATTTAACTATGCTAATCAACCATACACAGGCAGGTCCATTTTAATGTACCAACTCACATTCAATCTTCTTAATTCTATTGGCATGTATACAAAAATTGCACTCTTAGAGACAGGGCTCACAGCATCTAAGTCATTTGTCTGAGTAGAGAGGTCTCATAAGTAAGATCACGTGCGAATGGTGGTCAAAGGGCCTGTGAGTCAGCTCTCCGTTTGTTTTTTTAATAACCACAGAGAGGACCAAAATCCCATTTTTACTTAAATATCATGTATTGAGAATTAATGTGCATTAGGTACAGTCCTAACCATACAGCAAAGCTTTTTCTGTGATGAGCAAGTTTTCACTCATACCTGTGAGTTTATTCATGAAAATCATGCAAAATAATGTCTAAATGGTAACCTCTGTAACTCTTCTCTTCCAGAACTCTCCCCGTTTAATTTCCTCTTAGATTCATGTCCTGTCTTTCATGAGACTGTCTTCATACATGTATGTATATATTATTTTCTATATAATTCTTATTAAGTTCATGTATGTACAGGCAGAGAATTAACAATCCATTTTAAACTTTTATAAAGAAGGTGACCATCAGTTAGCTGCCTCCAGTTACAGTTATCCTGGCAACCTGATCAAAGGTGGGGTGTCAGCTATGCTACTAGGTCATAATATTTATGATAAAATGACTCCTTTGGATAAATTCCATCTGTATTGGGGAAATTCCTATAAATATCTGATAAGCAGCCACAGCTTGGGCTGCCTTAGAACCAGCAAGTAAACATGGCAACTCTTAGAACAGGGCTTGTTTTTGTGGGGACCTTGCAGGCTCAGCACCTGTGGGCATGAGACTTTTAAGCCAAGGCAGCTCTTGGGCCTTCCCAACATTTAACTTATCTTTTTCCCTCTGAGCTGTGTTGCATGGATTTCTAGAATTTCCAGATGAGGAATTTCTGATGCTACAATGATGACAAATTCTGGTTCCTGTTCTATATCCTTCTAAGCGGACTGATGCCAAATGTGGGCTATGGTAGTCTGTGAGTCTTGCATATCTGAAAATTTGTGCATCCTACATTCAAAACTTAACTCATATTATGTCATTTAATACTTGCAACAATCCTTGTATGTGGGTACTGTTATTATTTCCATTTTATAGGGAAGGAGTCTCCAAAAAGTTATGGAATGTGTTCAAGATCACATAGCTAGTCTGCTGTGGACTGGAAATCGAACTCAGATTTTCTAAAACCAGAGTCCATGTTCTTTACTAGTCCGCCCTACTTCTTCTCACTGTTTAAACTGACTATAAATCTCAGTTTGTTAGAGCAAATGCTTTAACTGAAACTGATGTCAAAATTACTGGCACACTGTGAATCAACTAGCACCACTGTTTCACAGGCCAGGGTTTGTACAGATGTACAGCTTGTCCTAAAGAGGAATTAGGAATTATGGAAAAGCCAAAACAAATACATTTTCCTGATAAATGTTACAATTTTCAATACATGTCCTACATACAAGACATCAGTAGCACAAACATGAGAATAGTATTACATGATGTCATTATATAGTTTTTAATGTATTGACATATATTTTCTGTCATCTATCTATCTATCATCATCTATCATCATCTTTCTTTCTATCACCTCTCTATCTAGTTTGTCTCTCCTGTAATTTTTCAATAGCCCAACCATTATTTCAACAAATGAGTATTAGGTAACTCTACTTTAGACGTAGAAAGACAAGATTACAGTAATTAAGTTGGAAGCATATAATTCTGCTTGGGGAGGCACAGAAGGTTATATGAATTAGTACGTTACTATAGTGGATTTTAAATAATGTATTAGAACCTTTCAGACTGTGATAAAGGTAATTAACAGAGATATGAAAGAAAATAGCCTTTTGTTTGTGGGTTGTTGCTAAATTATTCAGCTGCCATCCTCTAAACCATTCTTTCCTTTATTCTGGCCATGCAAAAAGTTGACACTTATAGAGTTTAGGGGAACTATATATTCTGGTTCATTATGATTTTCAGGGGGAAATATAGACTTTTCTTTGGCTTCAATGTAAGGAGTTTGTGCTGAGCGGCAGTAATTAAGAGTGGAACTGAAGCCTAAGTTAGATCCAGGACAATTATATAGATCTAGAGAAGCACCTCTTGTGGGCAAGAACACCACTGACAGAGTGGGAGCAGAAAGGGATGATATTTGTATTTTATGTAGATTCTGATGGTGAGCTGGAGGACAGACTATCAAGGTACAGATTGGAGGCAAGGAGACTATAACGATGATGATAACATTAATACTTATAGTAAAATATACTGAGTGTTTACTATGTGCTAGACATTGGTCGAGCCGAGTGAGATATGATCATAAACATGAGGTTTATCCTCACTGATTGTCTAATATGAGCCGTGTACCATATTATTCTACCAAGAATATCTCATGTACTCCTCAAAACTAGTCTGTAAGGTGAAGGTCCACAGTTGTTTGTTTGTGGTTCTTTTTTAAGATAAGGAAATAGAATCTAAAGGTCTCACCCAAGTTTAGAAAACAGCAGGACTAGGATTCTAACTAGATCTTTCTGCTTGGGAGGTTTATGAAAGTGTCAACAAAGGCAGTGGTGGTAGAAATGAAAAGGAGTTACAAACTTAGAAACTATACAACCTGATGGAGAGTTGAAAGGGTTAAAAGAGAGGAAGGAGTCATTTAAAAACTTGCAAGACTCAAGCTTTGGTGATCTCGTGAGCAGCACTGCAATTCTTTGAAACAGAGAATGCAAGATCAGAAGCAAGTTTTTAGCAGTTGATAAATGAGTTGAACATTAATGTCTTGATTTGATATGGACATATCCAGGACATATCCAGGAGAGAGAAATGCCCAATAGGTAGATCCAGAATGAAGAGTCAGGGTTTAATAAAGTTCTGGATGACTTCTATCCTTTTAGGAATCATGAATATATCAGAGTTGAAAGCTAAGGCCACAGGAGTAGCTGAGCGCTCACACACTGGGGCTCATTCTAGGCCTGCATAATTCACACATGGCCTTACAGTGAACCTCGGTAGACCCGTGAGCACTGTGATATTTATTAACTTCATTTTTTTTTTATTGTTAGTGAGACTAAATAAGTTCACCAAATCATCCATGGTTGCTAAATTATTCAGCTGCCATCCTCTAACCATTCTTTGCTTTATTCTGGCCATGCAAAAAGTTGACATTATCGGGCTTAGAGCTTATATTCTGGTTCATTATGATTTTCAGGAGAGCATGACCCTTTGGGAAGTCAAAGGCCTGAGCTGTGCTTGGTGGTTGGTCTGTGAACCAACACCATCACAATTAACTAGAAGCTTGATAGACACATAAAATCTCAGATCCCTAGGCTACACCACTGAATCAGAATCAGTATTTTAACATTCCTGGTGATCCATATGCACAATAAAGTTTGAGAACTCTGGTCTAGAGTTAACAATTAAGCAGTCCCAAAATATGAAGTCACCCAATAATTAGTTAGCAAATGAATCTTTATTAGTGTAGCATTATTTCAGACAACAGGAACTGACTGAATCACACAAAATGGGATTTATTATCAGATATTAGGTGGTTTATATGATAATTGAATATGCTGGAGGAAAAGGCTTAGTTCTAAGCCAAGCCTCCAGCTTCCAGCCTCAGAATCACATCACCATTGCTCTGATCCACAAATGTGGCTACAGGAAACCGCATTTCTGGCACTAACTTCCCTGTGAAATGGGTACTTCTGCCTCTTCCTACTGATCTCAGTTTAGAATCCAAGCCCAGATCTAACACATTGTTGGAGTCTAAATCACATCCAGAAACCCGGCTGCAAGCAACTTTGCATGCTTTGATGTATGTTATAGTTTTGTGCCTTTGCAGTGCTGGAAGTCCCACTAGAGCAGCGCTAGTCAAAATGTGGTCCACGGATGAGTGCAGCTGCTGGTGAGGGGTGTAAAATGAGCTAAGCACAGAACCGAAAGTAAGGACTGAGGCATTTTTACAGTAATTTGAAGTCTGCAACACTGAAGCGCATGGCCAGTGGA